TAATTGCATGGGAGTGGCAGTCTTTAATGAATTTCTATTGTCATGTCAATTTCTTGCGATTACTCGAACATTAAGCTGTAACCACATACCGCTAGGTGCTGTAATTAAATCCTGGTGTAAGCACCATATGAACTATGAACAATGCATGTGAAGCCAGCTGTGGGGTATATTCAATCCTATAGATTTCTCATTGTTTGGTAACTATTTGCTGCAAATGCAGCAAAAATCAATATAAAAAATATTACCCACACAGTATTCTACAGGTTACTTGTTTATTGTTTATTTCTGACAATGTGGGAAATTTATGATTCAATTCTCTGACGTTTTTGTTACGATTACATTTCTTGTGGTTCACTTCTGTGCAACATGGTCTACAGTTCAATGAAGAACCTAAATTTCATAACGTCTTTTAACATATACCTCATATGTTGTGTGTTTGAGGTCACACCACGGTAAAATTGTAATTACACCTATAAGGTGTATGATAAAACGTTATGGACTGAATACGGCTTTTGACGCCCGAGGTAGTGTGGCGAACGCGAAAATCGTACAACTGCAGTATCCAGTCCATAAAGAATATAGCAGTATGGGTCCTGTACAATTCCATTTGAACATACACTTATGTGTACACATAAAAATGAATGGTGGTCATTGATATGGAACCCAAATCAAACACGATGCAGCCCAGTGACCACCATCCTTTAAATAATCAACACAGGTAGCATGACTTGGGTGATTTCTGATCATATCGAAAATATTATTATACAACTACTAGTACCAAAAATATATCTGCATTTGTTCCAAAATGTATCTGTTCTAATTCCATGTTTGAATTTTTTTATTATCTTGTGTAGACTAAATGACTAACATTGAATGCATTCCATGCTATTGACATTGCATTTGATTTGAATACTCTCTTTTGATTTTTAATTATTTTGGGTTCGAATAAACACAATTTTCTACTGGCTACAGGTCTTGATAAAAAAATTTCAAAGAATTGGAAAAGATTATGTGGCTTTGTTTTTTGAAAGGTGACAAAAGTTAGTCCTGGCATTCAAAGAGTTAAGAACAGCTGGGAAAAGTGTCATTCTTGAATATTCTACAGTATTTGATACAATCTAGTTCTAGTGATGCTTCTTGAAAGGCATGATGACTGTTGACCATTATTTCTTCTTATGCAATAATTTGTGCTCAGTCATTGCCCTTTATTGATTCAATTTCGTAAATGCATGTATATATATATTATTAGAATTGCCATGTAAATAGTCACAAATATTTAATAAAATACAGCTAAAATTGAGAGTGAAATCATTTTTATTTACAAGTCTGTGTGATGTGTTTTTTGGTAGAGTGTAGTATAATGTTGACATGCGGCATTGTAGAGTGGCATTTTTCATTATTATATTATCATGTTTTACTGTTAATTACTGCATTACTACCATTATTTAGTGTCTTGTGCACAGACCACAGTAGGTTTTATTGCCACATTTAATCTCCAGCCAGACACTCAAAATGTTAATACTAGTAGTAAAACTGGAATCTACTGCCCTCTGTGGTGTGGTATAGAGGGGATTGGTTGTTGTTGGATGCAAATGCTTTTTTTTCCCTCCTGTGTACATGTACAGGTGGGTGGATGTGTCAAATCATTATTTACTCTTCATAAGCCATATAAATAAAAACATTGTTTGCTTTATCTGTATTGGAGATTTGCTTCTAGTATAGCAAATACAGTATTATTTATTATCTTTATCAGTGGGATGCAATCACAGTTTTGCTTTCAAGTAACTAAAAGCTATGATTGAAATGTAGGTGGTCAAATATGTCAAGAAGTCTCAAGACTCTGTTCTTTCGAGCTAAAGGTGAAAGCATTCTGCTTTACGGAGCTGAGACCTGGACACTTACCAAAGCAATGGAGAAAGACCTTGATACACACGTTTTTGCGTCATGCACAAAACATCAACTGGAGACATGTCACAAATAAAGACCTCTATGGTAATCTACCACAAGTATTGGAAACAATCGGAAAACGTAGACTCAGACTAGCGGGACACAACAAACCAGCATCCTTGGTGCTACTGTGGAAACCAACTCATGGACAGATAAGACCTGGCAGGTCTTTTGATGACTACGTATCCGTGCTTCGAAAGGATACTGGCCTAAGCATTGAAGAACTAAAAGTTCTGATGAGGGACAGAGAATTGTGGAGGAAGCTGACCATGGAACTGGGTGCGCCCGACTGATGATGATGATAGGTGGTCAAGTAAGGCCATTCTTTACATATTTTTTGTGGGATTTTATCCTAAGCAGGTGGTCATTTTGACAGGCTATCATCTAATGCTAATAAGTATACTATGCTAATCAATCTATGACGCAGTAAACATCAAAGAATATTGAGTTTACATGGGAGCCTTTTCTAGCATGTGTTACTCATTGTTACTTTTAGGTGGCAATGTGAAGATGTGGCACTAAAATACAAGTAATTGCCTTGCATAGTCCTTGTAGGTTCTCAAGTTTGTCAGAAATATAGCTCCAGAACAGCATTTGTTACAACAAATGGCTGCCAGTCAGCCATTCTAAATCCAATCTGAAATACATTTGGCTCCCATGCACATTGCCCAATGTTTGTACCAAGTTCAAAAGAAATCTGTCTATACACGACTGAGACCTGTTTCTGGAACGCAGAAAATGAAAGTTTGAGTGTACGAGTAATAGGTCCAGGCGTCTGAAATACAGGCACAAACATCAGTCTTCGTTTTTTGGACTTTATCCAAATGGTGAATAAAAATCTACCAATTCTCAAGACCAGTCTAGCACTAAAGTCTTCTAAGGTTGTATAAAAACTCACACCAAGAGATGTGTAGGTTATAAATGCTATTGGAGTCCATGCATGCAAATGTAATTATGTGTGAATCTTGAATTATAATTAAAGGGTGGTGTTCGCTACCTCATGACTTTTGATATGCTACGTACAGAACAGAATAAAGCAGCAAATATCAAATTGATTAACAATATGATTTTATTTACCAACTCCAATATTTGGCACATGACTAGGACACGAGAAAATGAGCATTCACATATACACATATTTTCATTAAAAAAATCTTGTAGAGAACAGACTACAATCCATCATGCATTAGGACTAGTGTGCAACATAATTGTCATTAAGCCTGGTGCACTATGGGTAGAAGTGAGATTACTGGAACTCCAGATAATACTTATTGCATGCATTATACAGGAAGACAGACAAAACTGCTTATTATCTTTACTAAATCAAACATTTCTCTGGAATCTAAAATTTAGATTTTACAAAATATTTATCTGGGGATTTGATTTGCAGACTGACTTATCTAGTCGTTCACAAATAAGCATCTACCCATGAGCCTTTGCGTTTTATGATGCATTGTTATCGTCGCTTAAAATTCAATCACTGTGGTTGGTTGTGCTTTAATACATTAAGATATTAATAATTACAAATTTAAATTGTCAGATATCACAAATTTAAACAAATAGTCAATAATTCAAATCTAGAAAGCATTCATATAATTTCATGTCTACATTTGTACATCTTTTCATGCAGACTTATTTGATGACTAAACATGGAATGTCAAAGACAGACAATTGAACTTAAGTCTTGAGCTTTATCAAGAATATATACACAACACTAAGTCATTTCGGGATTAGTGTCAAATAGGAAAGCACATTTAAATTCAATACATTGTAAATCAAATTATTGGTGGATTATTTTAAAGCTGAATGCACCTATGTATTGCTATTGACGACTATTTACAAACAGAATTCTTTCACTGAGATGAATATATAAATTGAATAGATGTTTTGTACCACTGCATTGATGTATTAATAAAAAGGAAACATTAAGCCGCAATTAGTTCATTGACTAGTTTGACATATTTCATGTGTCACAATTAGTAAAGTTGTTCCTTGTTACATGTAATGATAATACAGTTTACACAGCACTGAACAGAAGTAACTGAACGGAAGTATTTCACATGAATGTGATTCTGTCAATCAGAGAAAAATTTGACAGAATATATAACAATATGAGCAGAAAACATGATGCAATCCATTCAGGTAGCTTGAATTTTTAAAGTGGATTGTAAATATTTAACTTGACGGCAGTTTGTCTTGAGATAGGAGTGTTTTGTTTAACACACTGGTTGTTCTTTAAGGGATTCAATTGTATCTTGTGAGGATGATGCAGCAGAACCAGCTGACGTAACAGATGATGCTCTTGAACGGTTCTTAGTTAAACTTGTCAGACTCAAGCTTGGGACTGTAAAGCAAGATAAATCAATATTTATTATTATATTTAAATACGTCAATTAATGTGGAAAGCAAATCCTGTGACATGAATTTTGTGTAATATGTAGAATAATATACAAAGTACGGACGAACATGATATTTTAACAGCATGCATGGTGAAATGAACATGATTGCCAAATATGGTAGTGCTCACTCTTCCTGGAATTTACAAATTTAAATAGTATCAAATATGTTGGTGCCCACTCTAAATTCATATAAAATTTATTGTTGATCAACTAACCATGCAAACCACATATAAAATGGTATATGTCTGAAAATGTAAAATGATAAATTTAATAACATGATGTCCTCTTTAGTGCTTTAAATAACTCTTATCTGCTCAACGTATTTACATGACATCCCCATAAACAATGGCTACGCTCCCCACATTTGAGGTGAAACAAACAACATTCCATTACTTAAGATAATGAAGTACCATATAATCTGTATTTAATAGTTATTAACCAAACCATGCGCTGGACTATTAAAGTACACACCCAAAGTTTTTCAGATTTTATTAATTATGCAATGCTTTTTTAAAGTATACTAGGGGGTACAATTAAAAGGGGTTGATTAAAATTGTGAAACATTTGAAATGTCACAAAATTGTCATTTGATAGCTACCGATATTCATTGTACCCCTGTAAGTATACACACAGGATTAGTCCCCAGGTGAATTTAGACTATTGTATTTGGCAATCAATGGGACAAACACAGTTAGGATACAATTAGGGAAACTAAATGTATTAAAGAACCATGTGCTGGACGGACACCAATACTCACACCCTTTATTGTAACAGCTGGAAGAAAGAAAGACAGAAGAAGAAAACAGGCACAAAAGTTTTAGTGACTTTGTAAAGCACATGGTTGAATTGTATATTTTGTCTTATGGTAGATGATGAATTCTACCTCTCTTCAGACCAGGTTTTGTGTCAGTGCCATGGGGAGAAATGTGTATTGTGGGACAATAAAAGATACAGTTGTACACACACCTACTATCTATCAAGAAACACATATTGTATAAAAGTTAGTTGAGCAATTAAACTTGATTTCAGTCTCTTCCCTACTGTGACCTCGCCTTGGGTGGCCGACAAGGCTGCTTGCAATCAAGATTGGGGAATTTGGTCATAGTGCTGTGACATTCAATCATTACAAGGTGTAAGGATAAATAATGTCAACAATAACACATATGTGTCAAAGAAATCAGTCTATTGCTATGTTCACACGACAGCATTCTATCGGAGCCGAACTACTGCTCCTCCCACGGATTAACAGGAAATTATCTACAATGCGTTCATACGGTCGGGAGCCGAACGAGAGCCGAGATCTGCCAGAGTTAGATTCAGTTCGATCAGAGCCGAGCGGAACAGTGCCCTTGAATAATTAGTGACTGAAAATGATTTTAGTGTCGTGCTTGTGTTTTTTCTTTACATGGCATGATGCTGTTGAGCTAGGAGAAAAAAGAGCCTAACCATGGAGGTAGAAAAAACAATGACTGGTATTAAAATTTTGGTACTAGTATCTCGAATAAACAGGAAACACGGCAGCTAAAATATGTTTAATACAGCCTATTCGCTCAAGTTATTGTCATGCAAAATTACCATTTTGTAACTATTCAACTGTAGTGATATCTAAACTACCGGTACTAGGAAGAATCACAGATTCTCTATCATAGAGGGACATCTATCATAGAGGGACTATGGAAGAATCTAAACCTACCAGGAACATGTCACCGTACCGCGATCGCTTCTACGATTTATATCTTTAGTGTCTTTAAAAAGTTTCCGTTCAGTCATTATTTCAAGTTTTTGTCGCATAATTTCGTACGCCATATTTTGTTTCCCATTGAGCTATCAATCTATCGCAATGATTCGTTAATATACACTAGGACGCATACCTCTTATTCAAGTGGGAAATTGCGTGAAATTATGAAAGATGTTGTTTCCGCCATGATTGAAATGAGAGGTTACTCGAAGAAGACGATTGAGGGTGTGATTTCGGCTTCGATAGTTGGGCCATGATGCGTTTACACGATCGGAGCTATGTCGGGACTCAACCCTATCGGAGTTCAACCCAGAGGGTTTAGTGGAGCCGAACCTGGCTTGAGCCAAACGCGTTTACACGGCCATTTTTGCTGGCTTGAGCCGTTGGGCTCCAATAAAATGCTGTCGTGTGAACGTAGCAAATAACTGGCCAGCAGTAGCAGTGTGTTGTTCACTTTGCACTTACGATATGATCTAATTAAAGGGTAATTGATACTATAAATTGGGGCAAGATGGCCACCGCAATTAGTATGCTAATCCGAACCAAACTGCTCACATCGTGGCTGGAGCTCCGTGAAATGTGCCTTTTACGATGTTTAGAGATCAAGCTGTAATTCCAAATACATTTTTACGGGGGCATGAATATGTACTCTAGCGATTACACTCATCTGGTTGGGCTTTTGATGTATAAATGTTGCTGTTTTCGGTTGAAACGTACCACAACATGTAAAAATCATGAGTTTAAAATGGCGGCTAATGTATGCAAAATGCCTGTCAATCACAGTTTGAGTAAGCAAGCATAATAAGCATTCATTTACTTAGTGGACAGAGGCGGAGTTAATAACCCATGAGCACGTGGTGCAACCCATGGGATTGAGCGGTTCCCCTTTAAGTGCACGAGGACAAATAAAGGTCTATCTAGCCATTGTAACACATTCTTATATTCTGATATATCTAAATTAGCAGTCATATTGAATGTTATACTGGTGAGCACTAACACTGACTAACCCAAGGAGTCAAAGGAAAGCTTAGCAGAGAAGTATGATCACTGTTTTGTTTTGCTTTTCTTATTCTGTCAAGATAGTATTTATATTCAAGCTTTTGTTAAATACTCTATTTTAGCTGGAATAATTTTTGTTTGAAAAGACAATTTGGGTATTTTGTTTATATGTTTCACTTTCACTGATTTTTCATGACTTGAATGTAAAATATAAGAACAAAGGTATATTTGCTTGATTTTATTTTCAATGAATCATCCCTTAAAGCAAAAATAGAAAAAGGAAAAAGTATTTTACAGTGTTCATAACTTTCCCCAGTGTTGAAAATAGGAGACCCAAACAATATGACAGCACATTTTATGTCATTTCATACAGTAATTTTAATTAGTATTCAAGGTTGCCTATCTATAAAACAAACTGCGAAAACCTCCAACAATGAATGTTTCATGGCCTTATGTCCTAGATCCTTCTTGCATACATGGAAATCACATATTCCCTAAACTAGATAAAAAAGCAATCTTGACTGGCTGAATATTTCTCTATTTCAACTGTGGTGGTGTGCAATAAACTACACCACGTTTTTGAATACTCACCATATCCTAATCCTTGCAAGAAGAGCCTGAATGATTCACAGAC